CCTCCTCCAGCTGCAACTCCCAGTCCACTGATGTCCTGTCAGCTTGTTTGACGGACATCAAGGCCTGGATGAGCGCAAATTTCCTGCAGCTGAATATGGACAAGATGGAAGCCATACTCCTTGGCTCCCATCAATGTCTTCACTCCTGCGAATCTAACCTCCTCAATCTCCCTCAGACTCACCGAACCAGTGCGCGTGCAATCTGGGCATCCGGTTTGACCGCCAGCTGTTCTTCCTCCTGCACATCCGGTCCCTGAGCAGGCCCGCCTTCTTCCACTTCTGCTACGTTGCCCACCTCCATACCTCATCCCAAATGCAGCTGAAACCCTTGTGCATGCGTTTGTCACCTCCCACTTGGATTATTCAAATGCCGGTCTCCCCAGCTCCACCATTCAAAAGATCCAGCTCACCCAGAACTCTGCCCCCGCATACTTACCCGGACCAAACTCCATACCCACATCTCACCAGTTCTGGCCAGGCTCCACTGGCTCCCCATCGCTGAACGGATCAACTTCAAGATCCTCACACTCGTGTTCAAATATATTCACTCCCTGGCACCTCCTACCTCTCCAACCTCCTCACTCAGTGTCTCCGCTCGATTGGCACTGGCCTCCTGCTCCACCATCCCACCATCCTGCACCCTCCACCCCACCATCTGAGATCGCGCTTTCCCACTCTGCCACTTTTAAGCGCTCGGAGATACTACCCTGCCTGGAGGGTGCTATTTAGTTGTTGTAGTTGTGTTTAAACAAAAACAATATACGGAGACCACAGATGCTTTTTCTTTGAAGTCAGAATTTCACGTGAACATTCAATGAGATTTCCAAGCATCATATATTTTTCCTGGAACAATAATAGCTTATCCTGTGTAAATTCATTAGCTACTTTGTATAATTTGCAAGTCGGTGTTAAGGCCAATTAACTAAACCTGTCCATTGATTACTAAATGGCTACTCTATTCATGCTCTGAGAATTTACAAGGACAAAATAATCTTTTCTGCCTCTTTGATCTTAAACAACAAAGACAACTGCATATTAGATGGTTTCCCAAACATTGCTGATATATCACCAAAAGCTGACCAAAAGCGGTCTCCAGACTCACACATCACAAGATCATAAGGGAAAATAGTTTGAAGATGAGACTGGTTGAGATCAAATGAGCCAAATAACCTTATTCATCTGAGCTTTCCTTGTGATCTTGTGAAGGCAGCAGCTTATGGACAACGAGAATGTTACTGGAGAATGTTAAGATAGTAGTCATGTGTTTCACCCACAAAATTTACAGTTAATTCACTTTACAGTATATTCTGTGAAGCGCTTTGAGATGCCTCGAAGACGTGATGAGGCATTTTATCAAATACAAGGATTATTATCTGTTTAGTATAACTTGCAGTAATATGCACACTTAGATGAATATAATATGTGAAGTAATAAGTATATATGTTCTTCCATTCTCTGACTACTATATACATAAAATATAATGATGTATAAATATTGGTTCCACTTAATCTGTATAAGGAAATGATTATTAAACAATTGAACTAAGAATGACATGTATATGTATCCTTAACGGTCACATAAAGTAGACAAGAAATTATCTTTAATATCCAGCGATCTTAGTTTGTAAAGAAGCCCTTGAATAGTATTTTTTCAAAGGCCTTTGACTGTCCAGTTCATTCATATAGTATTATATATAGTATTATACATATGTTGCAGAGTGGCAGAGTAAGTACTCAAACACCATCCACAAATGGGTCCAACATGCAATGCTAGTAGCACTCTAGCAATATAAACAATTAAACCTGCTTCTGAGACTCCTCATCACACACAATTAGACTCCACATGATCAAGCAGTAAAAATCGCATTGCATGCAGTCAGATGCCAAATTGCACTCAATTAAACAAGGTACTTTCAATCAGCAGTGCACATTCTTTTAACCTGAAATTGCACCAATGCCTTTAGCTATTATATTTTGTTCGTAACAATGCCTTGGGACGTCCTCTCAACGTGAAAGGAAATTTGTCAAATAAATGCAATTTGTTGTTGTTAGTTCCTGAGGAAAGTGAGTGTGCAGGAGCTCAACATCTGAGGAGGGAAAAGGTTTAAGGCCTCTTGATATTTATGTCCAATGAATATCAGTGTTTTCCTAAATGGCTATCCTGGAAATGAATAATCAAGTTTCGAGATAGCAGAAAGGATTTGGTTATAGGACATGAGGTCCAAATCAACTTTTTTAGCTTCTCACCTGTTTTTTTTTAGAAAGTCCAAGAATCTTCCACAGTTCTGCGCAATTTTATCCTTAAAGTCAAAATGTCCTTGTATCCTAAAGCCAGATGGAATTTTTGGTCAGCAACTTAAAAATCCATTTTAATAAAAAATACATGCATTAATTAATGGACAAAGCTGAGGATAGGATAATCTCTGAAAAATGTTTTAATGTTGCATAATTTAGTACCTCTTCAATTTAATAATATATTTATAGAAAATATAATCATTGCTTTGTGGTGGAATGATAAAAGTTTTAACAGTTTATATTACAGTACTTTTTTCCAACCTTTTCCTATTCGCTGACTGAATGAACTAATCATTCTTTATCTGTCTTCAAAGATCACAAGGTCAGTGCTTGAGTCGAGCAGTTAATAAATGCAATTATAGGATTCTTCAACAATAGTTGCCCTGAAATGAAAACCTACCTTAAGGCCATTAATCAGGTGAACATCTCCTTGGCCTGAAGCTGTTGGAAATGTAATGTTTTAAACCTCAATTCCCAGAGGTTCTATTATTTTTATTTTTATATATTATATTTCCCAGGAGAATTAACTTTTGTTCAAATATGACCATTTCAACACAATTCTATTATCAAAAAGACAACTATGATTATGAAACACTAAAAACAAATGGGATCATTGATTGTTTTTGTTGCCAGTCCTATTCTTTTCCATTTTACTATCTAAAAGGCACTGATTCTTGGTCAATTAACAACAATTACTTGCATTTATATAGCACCATCATGCAGGGCAGCATCCCAGAGCACTTGTTTGGTTCTATTGGCACCATTATCACTCTCGTGTCTTGTCCAAGTGGCCGTTCTTTATGTATGAGGCAGCGAGTGTCTATCAGCAGCCAAATGGAACACAGAAGGCATCACGGCTGAGCCTGATCCTATCCTCACTCAATGTCACAGATTGAATGTGACGCGCTTGACAATGGAATATCAGATTCTAGTCAACCCTCTGTGGTGACCTCAGTAGTTCAGTTCCTACAACTGGGAGTCCACAGTACTCCAGGGCACTACTGATGACAGACCAGCCAGCCTGGCTCATTGGTAGGACTTAGAAGGGCAGATTGCTCACTGGGACTAGGAATTCTTCCTACTCAGTTCCTGCGAACGCTGAAAGCCAAAGCCCTAATATATAAGGTGGTCCTAGCTTGACAAGCAGTGGAAAGATTGCCAAAAAGTGCTCTCAATGCCAAATTGGTTAAGCTCTAGTGGTACCCCAACTCACACTCTAGTATCTTCAAATCCTGACTCTTGCCAATCTGCACCTAATACTTCCCAGATTTAGGGAAACAAGGTCTGTCCCTCCACAGAGAGAGTGGCACACCAATCAGACACAGATAAAACTTCCATGGACAAGTGGTATACATATGTGGAACTCTCAGTATGATTTGGATATCGTTAAGCAATAGGATTCCACATGTGTCAGACCTGTCTAAACCCCCAAAAAGAGCAATTTTAGACATATGTCATTGGAAGATGATCAGGAGCAGAAACTCTATTTGATTTTTCACTCCCTATCCCAGGGACTGGAAGAAAGATTTTAATGCCCAGAGCTGCTACCATGGTTGAGATCAGCAAAGGTAGTGTGAATAGCTTTGTGGATGTGTGACTTTGCGCACCACAAGCCCATCAAGGGATCTATGAATACTGATTCATTAATTCACCTTATTCTGAACATTTCACTTTGATAGTATTTTGAAATCATTCATTTCATGATTATATTTTACAATATACACTACCTACTTTATTTATGGTTTAAAATAGTTCTGGATCAATTTCTATGCAGTTGCAGGTTTCGGTGAGGATGCTGCCATTGATGTGTGATGTTATTCACACAATTATGATCAATTCCAGTTCATTACCAAGAGATTCTGTGACCAGTTTATGTTATAGGCCTCTGAATATTCTGTTCCTTGCTAAGCTTCACAAATGTTTTGTAAATAATCAGTGTTCAAAATTGTTTTTTCACAGATCAAAATGATTGCTTTCGTTTCCCATATTGAAATTGCTGCCACAGGGGTACAGCTATTAAGTTCACCTAAATCGAGTGCTTTGAGAGTGCAATAGAGAAAGTAGAGAAAACAAAATGACTACAAAAATATATTATTGAGCAATAGCAATCGCCAAATATTCTTTCTGTGGGCTTCTATTTAAGGTAGCTTGAAAATACAACTGAGATTTGGTCAATAAATCCAATAAATTATCATGTAGATGTAGTATCTGCAATCCTATGTATTGTATGTTGTTTAGACTAGCTGGTCTTTCAAAATAAATAAATAAATTATTTGGTCACTCAATTCACGACTGTTTGTGGGACTCTGATGTGCGGAATTGACTGCCATGTTTCGCCCACAAAATATACAATCAGTCCTCTTTACAATACATTCTGTGAAGCACTTTGAAGCATCACGATGACCTGATAAGACACTATGTCAAATGCAAGGATTATTATTAGTATTGGTATCTGTGACCTAATTTACTGTATATTGTTTAGACTAACTGGTCTACACCTGTGAAGCGATTTAACAGCAACAACAACAACAACAAGATTCCATTTATAGAGCGCCTTTCACGTCAGGAGGACGTCCCAAGGCACTGTACAGTTGGGTCAGGGCCGGAGCAGGGGGGAAATGGTCAGGGTGAGGGGAGGGAAGGGAGTAACAGGCAGTAACCAAATCAACATTCCTAATCTATTGTCTTTTCTCTGTTCTTTTATAGACAGTAATTTTATACTTGCAAATGCACAGGTGGCGAAGGGATTCCCCATAGTTTACTGCTCAGATGGCTTCTGTGAACTCACTGGGTTTGCCCGGACTGAAGTTATGCAGAAGAGTTGTAGCTGTAGATTTTTATATGGTCCTGAAACAAATGAACAGATAACTCTTCGAATCGAGAAAGGTTTGGATGAAAAGACAGAATTCAAAGGAGATATCATGTTTTACAAGAAGAATGGTAAGCACACCTTCCTGTTAAGTAAAAATAAATCATGAAATGTATATTTGTATTGATAACCCATAGTTATCGGGCCTTATGTTCGCTGGCATGAAGAATCAAAAATAAATTAAATCTATCATATAAGAACCATTGCTTTGTCCTACTGTCTCAAAGCATAATTTTCTGTTGTTTAGGTTTAAGCCATTCTGTGACATAGAGTATTTGAAGAGAGACTCGCCAAAGCACCATCACTAAGCATCGAAGTGGTTTCACTTGTCTTTTAAATTAGCATTCTAATTTTCTCAAGAGCTCGCCCACATATTCCATTTGATCCCATCATTGCATCTTCTTGCTCTGATTTTTGAAACATTCAATGATGATTCAGAGTGACGTAGTGCTACTTAGAGCTTGGGTGCTCCTCTAACTTTCAATGCTGCATCAAGCATTTTATTGCAAAATCTCATTTCAAGGATATACTGATCCTCCCCCCCCCCCCCCCCCCCCCCGCAACCAGCAGTTCAGTTGCACATTTCATCAGACTATCTTCTATTATAGTAATGCATGTTTTTTTTAGTAATACTTTCGACTAGGTGATTTACTTGGTGAGATTATATTAGAAGCTATTTTTCTAATCATTGTGAATCCCAAAATGGTTGCATAAAAATGATACATTTACCAATTCATTAACACAAATCTTCTAATCTCTGGTAATGCTTGGACTTTGTTTAATTTTATACCTGTATTCTTTAATTCTGTGATCCCACAAAACACAAATCACACACTTTAGAGTGTATCCTGTGAAGCGCTTTTGAGATGTCTCGAAGACGTGATAAGACTCTTATTAAATACAAGGATAATTATTATTATTATAATGCAAGTCAGATAGCTTGCTTACTTATATATCTAAATACATACCTCTCTTCAAACCATAATTTTAAGATTTTGATTATGTACTCCTTTAATGTTCTTGTGTCCAATGAAAAATAAGTTCAGGCCTGCTGGTTTCTCTTTAAACGTTTAAAGAAATACATATTGAGACTTGTGTCTATTTGATTTATATAATTTATGCAAAATAACTTACTCATGTCATAGCAGTTATAAATCATTTGGCTTTATCCCCCATAAATTATTTACTCCCTTCCTTCGATTGCACGATTTTTGGTGTTCTGACTTACAACTGATACAAGGCCTGGATGAGTAATAACTTTCTGCGGCTCAATGTCAACAAGATTGAAGCTATCCTGTTTGTTTCTCACTAGCATATACATTTCCAGCTGCTTGCTTGGGCTGAAACGGATGGTGCTCTGTTTTGAAGCACTTCAAGATATTGACTTACACAAAGGGCACTGTATAAATGAGAATTGTTGTTGTTGACATTTTGCATGACCCTGAGCAGTGTCTCAACCTCCATATCCATTGCATATCTGGAACTCACAAGTCTCTGCAGACAAGTTTCCTTGTCCCTTTTACCACCATTCAGTAGGTTGTGGGTTCAAATTCCACATTGGATCTTGAAATGCATATAGACACACCAATGCAGTGGGGTGAGCTGCATTGTTTTAGCTGCTGTCCTTCGGTGAGACTTTACACCGAGACCCTGTCTGCATGTTCAAGTGGACGTTAAAGATCTCATTGCACCATTCAAAAAGAGAAGGGAATTTCTCCTGGTGTCCTTGTCAACAATTCCCAAATAAAATTGGTCCATTTACTTCATGGCTGTTTGTAGGACATTGCAGTACACAACATGGCTGCCCCTTTTGGCCACAGTCACTACACGTTACAGTGTATCTTCTGAAGCCCCACCATTGGCGGGAGAGCCTTCAGCCACTCTGCCCCAACCTCTGGAATTCCATCCCCCAGTCACTCCACCTCGCCCCCTCCTCAGCCTTCTTCAAGTCCCGCCTCAAGACCCTCCTCTTTGAGCATGTCATTAGCCACCACCATTCCCCTCCCCTCCCTTATCCCCCCCCAACCCCAGCTCAGGTCTAAAATGCTGTGCTCTGTCCAGCGCCTTGGGACGTCCTCCCGACGTGAAATGCGTAATACAAATGTAATCTTGTTGTTGTTGTTGAACCACTTTGGGATGTCCTGCTGACGTGAAAGGCACTTTAGCAGATGTAAGGATTATATAAGGATTATTATTTTGCCCCCATTCACTGAAACTCTGATCTGCCGCTCTTTGACTTGTTCCCTCCCCTCTTTCCCTGCAGATGGCGGGAAACTGGCCTGACAGTTCACCGCCAACTGTGGCTCGAACATCTCCACAGCTACCACCGTTCTTTGACACGCGCAAAAACGGCCTCCAACATCATCTTGGAGGCTAAACACAACCCTATAATCCTTTTTTCCACCACTCACTACCTCCTCCGTGCCCCCCCTCAGGCCTCCTCAATCTTCATATCCAATGCCAAATGCGAGGAGGTCATGGACTTCTTTTCTTCTAAAATACTCAACATCCGCCAGGCAGCCTCATCCACCTGCACCTTGTCACCCACCACCACACCCTCTCTGTCCCCCTCACCCTCCTTATCATCTGCTCCTACCACCACCCCCATCTTACATTCCTTCCTCCCCATCTCTCCCTCCTCCCTCTCACCCACCATCAGCTCCATGAAACCCACCACCTGCTGCCTCGACCTGCTCCCCACCAACTTACTGGTCACTCAGCTCCCCCTCCTCTGCCCACTACTGGCTGACATGATCAACAAGTCCCTCTCCTCCGGATCAGTCCCTGCCTCCCTCAAAACTGCTGTCATCACCCCCCCTCCTGAAAAAACCCTCCCTTGATCCCTCAAACCCCAGCCACTACCGCCCTATTTCTATCCTGCCCTTCGTCGCAAAAGTTCTAGAATGCGTTATTACCAATCAACTCCGCGCAGACCTCTCCTCCCACTTCCTCTTCAAACCCCTTCAGTCTGGTTTCCGCCCTCCCCACAGTACAGAGACTGCGCCCACAGTACAGAGACTGCGCCCACAGTACAGAGACTGCGCCCATAGTACAGAGACTGCGCTTGTGAAAGTCACAAACGACATCCTCTCTATCTGTGACCAGGACTCCCTCTACCTCCTTGTCCTCCTGGACACCTCCGCTGCGTTCGACACAGTCGATCATGCCATCCTCCTCCACTGCCTTTCCTCCGTCATCCACCTCAGTGGGACCACACTCGCCTGGTTTGAATCCTACCTCACGAACCGCCAGCAGTCCATCTGCACAAAAGACTTCTCCTCCGGCTCTCACCCGGTTACCTGTGGGGTGCCCCAAGGATCCATCATTGAGCCCCTCCTCTTTCTGACCTACATGCTCCCTCTTGGGGATGTCATCCGCAGACATGGGGTACACTTCCACATATATGCAGATGACACCCAACTCTATTTTTCCACCTCTCTTTGCGACCCCCAGTCCCCTGATGTTCTGTCAGCCTGCCTGTCAGATCTCAGGGGCCGGATGAGCACAAACTTCCTTCAGCTGAACGTTGACAAGACGGAAGCCATACTCTTTGGCTCTCGTCAACGTCTAAAATCTCACAGCTGTCACCTCCTCCACCTACCCAACCTCCCCTAAAACTTTCCGAACCCGTACGCGACCTAGGCGTCAGGTTCGACCCCCAATTATCCTTCCTCCCCCACATCCAGTCCCTCACCAGCACCGCCTTCTTCCACCTCCGCGCATCGCCCGTCTCCGCCAATACCTCTCCCCAAGAGCCGCTGAAACCCTGGTCCATGCCTTTGTCACCTCTCGGCCGGACTACTCTAACGCCCTCCACTCCTCTGCAAACCCCTACCTCTTTGACCTCCTCTCTCCTCAAAAGAGTACCCGTTGCCTTTGTTCCTCTGAGTCTGGCCTCCTCCTCGTCCCCTGAGTCCTCCGCTCCATCCTCGGCAGCCGTGCCTTCAGCCACCATACCCCGAGGCTCTGGTACTGCCTTCCTCCCTTCCTTCGTCTCGCCCCCTCTCTTCCTATTTTCATGTCTCTGCTGAAGACCTTTCTTTTCGACCGCGCCTTTGGTCACCTTCTCCCCCCTCCCCCTGGTTTGGCCCTGGGATCCGTTACTGTGAAGCGCTCTGAGACGCCATCCGGCGTGGAGGGCACTATATAAATCCAAGTTGTTGCTGTTGTTGATAGCTCTCATCCCCAGCTTAAGTATCCATCGAACATTATTAAATGCTTTGTGACATCCTCCTGACATAGAGAGATGCTATATAAATGAAAATTGTATATAAGCTCAACTAGTTTCCAATACATAAGAAGATCAAAATTAAGACCCTTTGTCTTAAAATTCTCCACTGTTTTTTCCCACCATTAATTATTCGGTCTTCGTCAGCCCTACATTATAACCTGCACCCTCCTCATTTCAATTCCTTTAACCCACCATCGATACCTCTGTCCTATGGAGCTCTCTTCCAAAACAACTGTCTTGTTAACTCCCTCCTTGGCTTCAGAAACCTCCTAAAAACAAACCTTTTTGACCATGTCTTTCGCCAATATCTTAAATGTCTTTCTAAATTTTGCTTGGTGTCCACCACTATCTTTGGTCAAGCATTTTGAAATGTTCTTTCACGTGAAAGGTGCTGTATAAATACATTTTGTTAGATGGAGGAAAAAACATAGACTATGCAATGAATTCTCTATGTAAAGTCTAAATTTTCTTCTGGGAGTGGTCATAGAAATTTACATTTTATTACATGCATTCTCATTATTTTGTTTTAAAATATTTTTAAATGTGTTGTTTTGAATAATAATAAATGTGTTTATGAATAAAATAACCCTTGTTCAGGGTTAATTTATGATTATTATTTTCACTTCTGAGACGAGACATACAGTAATTAATTTGTGTCTTGTAAATTACCTTTTCATCCCAATGTGTGGATAATATAATTGTATAATATAATTATTATAACAGGTTACATAATATAACTTCTATTTGTACACTATTATGGAGAGATCCTGGAAGAATAAAAGTCACTTTTCCATTGATACATCAAATTCCATTGTTTCTCAATAGTCTTGAACTAAGAAA